CTCACGTTCAGAAGAGAGTATCGGGTGAGCTGTGTTAATCTGTATCTACAAAAACAACAAGGAGTCTGGTGGCACCTTAAAGACTGACAGATTTATTTGGGCATAAGCTTTCGTGGGTAAAAACCTCACCTCTTTAAGGTGCCACCAGACTCCTTGTTGTTTTTGTAGATACAGATTAACACAGCTACCCCGATACTCTCTTCTGAATGTGACTTGGCTGTATTTCTGCTATGCTTCCACACCCCCACCCTCCACACAGAGGGATTCCTGTTTTACAGACTCATCTAAGGACTTCCAGATCCTTAATTTAATTGAATCACCAGCCCTTTCTTATCTTAATCACTTGGCCTCTGTTTGTAACAAAACCCTGCCCCCCTGCCCCGGGGTGCGAGCTGGGAGCAGCACAGAACTCATCATCGTCCACACTGCAATTAAGAACAGGAGGACTTGTGGCACCTTAGAGACTAACACATTGATTAGAGCATAAGCTTTCGTGGACTACAGCCCACTTCTTCGGATGCATATAAGAGCTCTGCCTGGGGCTGGGCGTGCAGACCTCTGGTAAGAACCTGGGGGGGGAGGGCAGGAGCCCCCCATAAATGATGCCCTGCAATGGAGAGGATGGCGATGAAGCCTTGTGGTGGCATATGGGGCATCCCGTATTAAATGTGCAGTCACTGGCCAATCACTGCAGCCATGAGCAGGTGAGGCTCTTTAGCACATCTAGGAGAAGGACAATTCCGAATACAAATCCTGCAGCCCTGTCAGCTGCCATGCCTGGGGCATCTATTGCACCAGCTGCTTGGACAAGAGCGTGGGAAACGCTCTGCACAGACCGTTCATCCTGCAGCTTGTTCCACAGTCACCTCGTTAAACCCATTCAGCTCCCCAGAGTCCTGGGGCCGGGGACAGGCAGAGGATGCTGCCGGCAGTCCTTAGCAGAGCCATAACTAGGTATTTTTGCGCCTGAGGCAAGAATATAAAATTGTGCCCTCCCCCAGGGCCGGCTCTTCGGCGGCAATTTGGCCACGGGTCCCTCAGTCCCTCTTGGAGGGAAGGGCCTGCCGCCGAATTGCCGCCGAAGAATGAATGAAGGGGCGGCGGTAGAGCCTGTGATTTTGGGGGGGTCTAACTCATGACTTCTAACTGCTTGGGCTGATAATGTTGCTTCCAAGATG